CGTTAAATCTTCAAAGGAATCGAAAAATAAAAAATTTTTAATAAAATATATACTTTTAAAATTTTTATAGGATAATTATTGTATAGTTTCTGTTAAGCGTTTTTTTTTAAAATTAGAAAAATTTAAGATATTTTAAACTTTTGAAAAGTCTAAAAAATTGTTTATATTTTACATCTTTTTAAAAAATATAAACAAACAATATCTTTACAATATTATATCATAAATGTAAATAACGTCAATTTAAAAATATATTGGCATTATTTAATTTTAGATAATTTTTGATGTAACATAAATCCAGAAAAACTTATTCTTTTTATAGAAATCATGAAATTATTTATATGTGAGCGTAAAAATAATATAAATAAGTAACTCTGTGCGAGATAACATTTATTTTATTTAAAAATAAATAATCTTTCAAAAAATGAAAAAGTTCTTTTAACTAGGTTATCAAACAATAATGAAATAACCATCATTACTAAAAACAAAGCCTATTATAAAGGCCAATTTTACGAAAATAATGAAAATAATGACTGGAAAATTTCTGATATTAGTAATTTTAGTTCAGAATTTGTTTTTGTATGTATATTTTATAATTTTTAATTATTACGAATTACATTAATATAAACTTGTATTAGACGATACATTAAGTCAAATATCTCAAATAGTAAATGATAATGAAGAAAGTGAAGAAAATGAAAAAATGATAAACCCAGTAGTCCAAAAGCGGATCAAGATAAAATTTACAATAAATTCGTACATTTTCTAATTGATAATATAAAGGGTGAAAGAGATGAAGAAGAATTATTTGTTAGTTTTTCTAAACTTTAACAAGAAATAGAGGAAAGTGAAATTCAAATTAAGCTTGAAAATATTTTAAATATTTTAAATAATGAAAGTGGTGTGTCCTCTTATTATAGAAACTTAATTAATTTTCATATTTAAGTTTAAATAATGAAAAAATGGTTAAAGAAAAATTACGCAATATTATTAATAAAAAGGAAAAAAGAGCAAAAATTAAAAAGATTGTAAAATGGTTTTATACTATAGCTAAAAGTTATGCGAAGGATAAGTAGATGTATTGTAATATCAGACTATCTTATTTTTTGGAATTAAAGAAAGAAAAATGGGAGGAATTTTTGAAAAATAATAATATTGAAGATAATTAATTTCTTTTTAATAAAAAAAATTTTATGATAGATATTGTTAGTAAATTTATTGTGACTGAACATATTTTTTACACTTTAATAAAATAACCTCACAGATATTTTGCACATAGTCACTTATTTAACACCTTAACTTTTTTAACACTTTACAAGATAACCTCTCGAACATTTTGCATGTGGTTATTTTTAGGTAACCTCACAGATCAAAGTTAGTTCATGGTTATTTTTCACGTGATCACTTCCTAAACGTCTTAACTTTTTTTAACGTTTTATCAAAGTTACCTCGCAGTTATTTTATGCGTTATCACTTTCTTGAGCTACCTCGCAGATATTTTATGTGTGATTACCTTAATGCTTTAACTTTTTAACGCTTTATCAAAGTTATCTCATGAATATTTTATGCGTAGTCATTTTCTCAAGGTAACCTCACAGATATTTTGTGCGTGATCACTTCCTTAATGCTTTAACTTTTTTTAACATTTTATCAAAGTTACTTCGTGGTTATTTTTCACGTGATCACTTCCTTGAGTTGCCTTGCAAATATTTTGTGCATTGTTATGTCTGATTTGTAATTCAAATAAAATTCACAAAATTAATAATGCTAAGACTAAACACAGGGAATCACAACAAAGATTTGTAGTAAACGTCAAAGATTATTCTCAATTATACACGAGTAACTTCTGGATATTTCAGAGATTACGTTTCAGTGACTACACTTTAAGTCAATACAATGAACCATACTATACTACGCAAAGTTAATAAATAATAATAATATATACACAGGTTAAAGGAGTTGCGAAGAATAAGTTTTAACTTAGTTAATCATACGCTTTATTAATAATATAATAAATTGTAAGTTCTCTACCTCATAAGGTCCTGAGACTTAATAAAAATACAGTGATATTTATACATGTTTAATAATTATAAAATGAACTAAACTAAATAAATCTATGAAAAATAAATGACATCGTCAAGGAAATAAAGTTGACAAAATTGATTAGCAAAGATTATCATGTCAATAAAGTTGCCTATTACAATGAAATAAAATTGACATCTGGATCTACAATGTTTTACATTGATTATATCAGGATATAAAGTTGACATCAGGATCGATGAGATGATAAATAAGGACATTTAATTGATATTGGATTTGTAATCAGATTTTAGCCAAAATTTTTACACTGTTACAGCGTGATCACTTATTTAACGCCTTAACTTTTTAACGCTTTATTAAAGTTACCTCGCGAATATTTTGCACGTGATCACTTTCTTAATGCTTTAACTTTTTTTAACGCTTTAGCAAAGTTACCTCACATTAATTTTCACGTAGTTACTTCCTTGAGTTATCTTACAGATATTTTGTGTGTAGTCACTTAGTTAACGCCTTAACTTTTTTTAAGGGTAGGATATTCATTATAAAATCGATTTGTAAAATTTAGTGGCAAAACAATCAAAAATAAAATAGATTTAACATGTGGTTACACATAATTACACTTGATCATATCGATTCAAAGTATATAATTTATATATAAAATTAGTAAATTATTTTTTTTTATTTGATTTCAAAAGCTGATACCAATTATTATTTTCTATATATTCTATAGCAATGTCCATAGTTCCAACAATATAATAATATAATGTGAATCCACTAAATTTGAAAAACCTTCTTTCCAAGATTTGAGTTCAATCTTTTGTTTAATAACATCTTTTGAGATAAGTATATCAAGCAAATAATAGCAAGATTCACGTGTATTTATCTTACTATTTTTATTATATCCATATTCTTTATGCTTGTAAGATCTTTATCACGCACATTAGCATTTTTAGCACCACAAAATACATATACTATATCATGTATAGTTATATGAGAAAACTGTAAATTAGGATTCTTTTCTCTCAATACTAATTCTTGTACAATTTTTATCAATCGTAATGCCTCTACTTTTATGTCATACTAACGGCTCCATCAGCTTCATGCTTTTTACAATTATCACATTTACCACATTCAAGAATATCAGGATCATTAGACCAAAGGTATGGTTGATATACTATTTGCTGACGACATTCATAAATATTTTTACAAATTAATGACATTTCTAAGATATTTTTTTTCCTTTATTTAGGTAATTTCGTCAATGAATTATTTCAGTATGCTCTATTTCATCCATCGATTCCTCTTCCAAACTTAATATATTTGTTTAAGATATATCATTAATACTAAAATAAAATAATATTTAGTATAGTTTCATAAATATAATTAATATATAAAATGTATTGTAATTATTTACTTCACACGTCCTGCTGTTAATATTATTAATAAACTACGAGTAACTCCTTTTGCATAAAAAATAAAACTATGCTCTAAATTTCCATCCCCTCTGGCTCTACCAATTTCTTGAATATAATTATCCAATGATAATAGAAATGAAGTATGAATAATAATACGAACATTATCAATATTAATTTCCATCCCGAATGCATTTGTTGCAACTATAAATTTGATGATTCTATTTTTAAACAATTGGCTATTTGACTTTTTATCCTCACTTGACAGTTGACTATGATAAATCCCAACTTTTGAATCACCAAAATAATCTTTTAATGATTGTGCAATCTTTATACATTCAGGAATATAAATAGTATAGATTATACTACATCCAGTTGTAATTTTGTCTAATATTTCGAAAATTTGGGTAATAAACTTTTCATAATTAGCCAGTTTGGATTTTACAGAAAGTTTTTAACTCGGGTCTATGTATTATTGAATCATAACTATATTTAAATTAGAGCAACAAAGATTTTCTTGAATATATTTTGCAGTTTGTTGAAAACAGGTAGCAGTAAAAAGCAATAAGGGTGCTGTTGGGAAGTCATTTTTCAAACAACCAAGCTTAGACCAATCATCTCTATTTAATATATAAGTTAATTGTTATATACAAATTATTATTTAATCACATACTTGTATTTACATACCTGTAATGCCCATAATCTAAAACACAATATACTTCATCTATTACAAATTGCACCCCCTGAATTTTATCTACATTTTTTAACATATTTCTAAATTTAGGATTTTTAATATATTTCTCAGCCGTTACAAATAATATACGAATTAATCCAGAAGCTATTTCTCCAAAAATATTTTCTTGAATGGCAGGTGGTTGATCTGAAGATGCAAACAATACTGCTGCAGGTATTCCTATATTTATCAAACTATGCTTTAAAGATAAGTTAAAATTTTAGTAAATTTAATACTTATAATTAAAA